TCTACATATCACATATATATATATATACACATGTGTATATATATATATATATTTACGTATGTAACACATACATACATACATACATACATGCATACATACATACATACATACATACATACGTACATGCGTACATGCGTACACGCGTACATGCGTACATACACATACATACATACATACGTACATACATACATACATACATACATACATACATGCACACATACATACATACATACATACCTACATATGTACGTACATACAGTGAACCAGTGCGGCCATCAGGAGCATGGTTGGCAACTGTTTGCAGCCTCCTGCCCCCCTCCAAAAGCCCGTTTCCAAAGTTTAGGTTTTTGGGCGGTTGGAGTTGGTATGTTAACATCAAAGTTCGGTAAGCCCTGAACCCATACACACATAAGCAGAGGCCGAAACCCTAAAAATCCCAAACCTTAAACCCCACACCCAGCTCAGGGCCGAGCCTCGGGTGGTTTCTGGATCTCTGCAGGTGGACGGTGAACTCAGCCACTGCCCAAGCCTGCCGTCAGGGCTTAATTTGCTTATGATGTATTGTGTGTTTTCGTTCGTGCAGGGAAAAAGGTTTGGGGCACAGGGGTTGGGGTTGTAGACAGGATGTGGAGTGTTGTAATAATATTGACAACCACAGTATAATAAAACATAATGACAGCAAAAATTATAACAAGAATAGCAATAGTAATACAATAATAGCAACCATCATAACAAAAGCATTAAAAAGTTTCAAGGCCGTAAGGTTCAGATAGAGCTCAGACTGCCGGGTTCCCAGAGTGGGCTCTGTCGGCGGCTCCCTCCTGGATCCTGTGCGCCGCTGGCTTTGGGGGCTTCTTTTTTGGAAAGTTGGTTTTCGGGTTGTGTACAACGGTTGTACAAAGGTTTGAAGGTTTGAATAAGACGGCCATTAGAACCCTCAAATTGCGCAAGCTTTTCGATGTAGGTTTTTCTGTGATAAGCATCTTGGCAAAGAAGCCAGAAACGCAGCAGGAAATCAACACCGACATCAAGGGAGGTACTTCCTCAAGTATTGTTTGGTAACCTGAATGTCTTCAACCCTGCACCCCCCCCCAAAGTCCGAAATCCGACATAGTAGTGTAGTACCGAGTTGCTTGCATACCTGAAGTGACATTGCCACAAGCCCGGGGGCCCACGTAGCCCTGACGTGACAATCTAATTTACAGAAGCCAGTCTAGCCAAGCTTTCAAAATCCCGTGTAACCCATATAGAACCCGTATGGGGAAACATAACCCTTAATGGCACAGGGGCTCCCGAGCGTAATGGCGATGAATATGCACAGAGGACAATGAGTACTAATCACTCAATGTCCCTTATGGTTCTTTGATAGCCGGTCAATCAAGCTCACTAAGTTTATTTCAGTTTAGTACAATGCCTTTCCATACAAGGTTTTTGGAGAAAGGGCGCTTCAGGAGAGTGTTGAAAATGATCTCCGATTAGCAGGGAATGGGGGAATGGAGCCCTATGATAGTCCCTGACTTCATGGTCCGTTATAGTAGTCTCTATTACCCACTCCCCCATTCCCTACTAGGACTCACTGTGAATGGATCAGGTGTCTCTGCAACTGCTGCGCAGCGGGCAGCGGCGGTGGCAGAGAAGGAGCACTTGCCATGGGGCCTCATAAGACTGAAGTTTGGGGCTTAGCATTTGGGGTTTGGAGGTTACCCGCCCACTGCATTCTCTCTTTTTTAAGCCATATTTTGTTTGAAACTCTGTTGCTGGTATTGTACTGGATTGTAGTAAGGTCATTATGAATACAACTATTACCATTCCAGCAAAAGATTACATACTTGAGATTATACTATGGTTATAACTGGCTTCGTGGTTCAGGTCGTAGGTGGGGTTCAGGATAGTTCAGCTTCCTTGGCGGATGGTTTGCGGATAGAGCAAGGAGACACAAAACTTCTGGAGGTTCTTCTGAGCCTGCCCGGGTGAATCGCAAGCCCGGAACCCCTAACACCAAACCACCCGACCCTTGAACCTTCGAAAAAGTTAGAAGCTGGAATGTAATAATTCGTGAGAGTATTCCGCAGGGTTACCAAATACACTTACAGTACACTGTACCTCGAAGCCCTACTCTTTCTCTGCATCTGTATCTGTACCTATATCTATACGTATATCTTTACAATTTATAAATATCTTTATCTATATCTACGACTTTAAACTTTACCTTTATCTATATCTAAGCTACATCTATATCTAGATCTACATACTACAGACCCTTTTGGGAACCCTAAGGCTCTAATTCTTCATCCACCTTGACTCGACCGCCTAACTTTTTGCCCTAAGCTCCTGAACCCACGGAGGGTTTAGGGTTAGGGTTCAGGGTTTCGGGTTTAGCACCCCGAAACCCTAAACTCCTGAGCGCTCTATAAGTGTCCCCGCTCTCCACCAGGATCCGACTCTGATGCGTTTTTTACATGAGGCCAGTGGCAAGTCTCTCAAGCACCTAGGTAACTTCGGGGCTTCGACTTTCGAAGGGGTGTCAGGCTTTGGGGCTTGTTTGGACTTGAGGCATCTTGAGGCTCTAGGGACTTTACATCAGGGTCGAGTAACCATGAGTAACCAGAAAGGTAAAACTCCTAACTCCATTGTAGAGCCTCAAAACCCCCGAGGTCCTTGAAGCCCCATCATGTGGGACCTCGGATTTCGAGGCTTAGGACTTCGATTTGGGGTTTTGCCCTTGACTCCTACACCGGTTGTTCTTCGTCATGGTCACTTCTGGCATGCGCTTTGAGGTTTACGGTAGTGGCATCCTCTTCATGTTGCGGCCTGACACCTATGATTATCCCACAAACATCCTCAGTTGCCATCAGCACGCCTCTCCCCCACCCCGTCCCAGCCATCCAGCAAATTCAGAATGGACCCTAAACCATATTCCGGGAAGCCTCTACCCCAACCACTGATTTGCAACAACTCCCCTCCCCTGAAACTGAACCGTTTGAAGATCCCTAAACTCCTAAACCCAACGACAACAACACAGGACTCCTTCGTCAAAGCAAAAGCAGCCCTTTGGACCAGGCCTGGCGTTTAGGGAGCCGTCCACGCCAGCCCGAGGCACTTGTGCAAGGAAAGCTTTCAGGCTCTTTGGAGTATTAATTTTGAAAGGCCTTTCAGGATTGAAGTTCGGAATTTAGCGCTTGGATTTGCGGAGCTTGAGAGGCTCTTGCGTCCGTGGTGTGTGAGGCTTTGTGTGCTCAGAGACTCACAGACCAGAGGCACAGGGTTTATTTAGGCTTCAGGGTTCAGGGTTGAGGAGGTCTAGTGTTTCAGTAGGCAGGTTCGGGATGCAGAATCTGATGGATTTTATGTAAAGATTCTTTTCGCATTTTCGGAGCTATAGTTATAGTTTGGGATCCTTATAAGCCGTCAGAAGGCACCTGGCCGTTGACAGGAGCACCCGATGTGTGATGGCAACAATTACCTCAACGATCCAGAGAGGACCCAGTAGGTACCTGGGTTTAGGATGGCAGTTACATAGGTCAATATTTGGGAGAGTGTATGATTATACCACAGTAGGTACTTGGGATTTTTTTGGAATGGCCGTCGGTAGTATTGGACAGCATCAGCCTGCGACTCCCCTAAACGGTTATTTCGTCCTTTCGTCCTCACTCACAACCTGAGTCATCAACCCGTTCTGAATCTCGACAATCTGTTTCGGACCAGCTCTTCCCTAGGCCGAATCAGTTTAAACTAAACTCCAGACCGCAAAGCACCTGAACGCGAATGATATGCAGAAGACCCAAACCTCAGCAAACTCCTGTAAGTGCCGCTTTTGCCCTTTCCCTCCAATTTCCTATCCATGGCTAACCTGTAGACCTTAGCCTTCTAAGCCTTACACCCATATAGAGCCATGATCCCTTAGACGAACCAGAGCCGTTCTAGATGCCTATAATGCCTACAGCCTTAAATCCATGTTAAACCCGAAATTGTGAGGGTTCCTTACTATAATTATAGTATAATGGGCCCCGAAACCCTGTTATGAAGCCCTTTCGTGCCATCCGCAGGCCTTCCAGACGGCCGTCGCCGAGGCACATCGTTGCAGTCGCCTGTAGCATTCGAAGGTTTTCGGGTTTAGGAATTTCGGATCTCGGAAGACCCTAAACCCATAAACTCTATAGGAGCTGGGAGGAATTTGGGGTTTATGGTTAATGCCAGATCAGGAGTTCAGGGTGTAGGGACTCAAGGTCGAAGGTTTCGTAGTTGCGAAGGACCCGGGGACTTGGGGACTTGGGCTTTCTTTATTTTTGTTTCTCAGTGTTCCGGCAGGTTTAGGTGACTCAGGGTTCTGAAGGTTTACGGTTCAGGGCTGAGGGATTAAGCCTTGGACCCACCTCTCGCTGCGGTTGTCAGCTTCTTCCACGGCAATCGAGAAGATCCACCTTGGAGTGAACCCAGTGGTCCCGGGCTTGTGCTGTGTTTGGGCTCGGGAGCCGTGGTTCCGCACCCTCAAATCTGCAAGGCGTACTGGTCGTACTATGTTGGA